GGTTTATCTCATATCAACAGGTTACTCCATGCTTGTAGAACATTCTTCTCTCCCAGAAGTTCTCATAGATCAGTTTTGTTAGGTTTTTGTTTGTATCTTTGTTTCTACAGCCATATGTGACCTAGTATCTTTCATGTGAGGACTAGTTCAGATCTATTTACATCAGTTTTCATGACTTCTTATATGCATTATGTCACTTATGAAGTTAAATTCACATTCATATTCAGTCTCGTATGTCTTTACACACACACACACACAGTACACACACACAGTCTGATCCATATTCACTGTGCAAAATAATTTGGCAAAAATCTGTGACCTTAGCTGAATGGTTCAGCTTACAAACCATGTCCTTAGGCAAGTCAATTTTCCTTTATAAACCCCTGTTTTTTCACTGGTAAAATGACAGCACTGATGCCTCATTCAAAAGACTCTTGAATATTAAATGACTTAATGTTTGTGACCAGTCCCTGGCTTTCAAAATAAATTGTGTTTTTAGCTTAAAATATTTTAGGAATAATGAACACTTATCTCTGTCACTTTCTTTTTTGTTCGGCTTAGTGTTGAGTCTCCCAAAGAATGAAGTCAGAACGTTTCATCTCCATGGCGTGAGTGGAAGGACAGTGTTTGCATTTTTTTGTTTGATTTGGAATTTTAAAGCTTATTGAGGAATTAAGGTAAGCACAGAGATGGAGCCATGAAAGAAACTTGAAAGGAACACACAGTCCTGGAATGTGGCAGCCCCTGTTTGATTTTAAATGTAAGTTAAATATTAATTTTTCTTTTAAAAAATCCAAGTTTTCCTCCAGGGAGGCCTTTTTATTTCTCTGATGGTGACAGATTGTTGGTGGCACTTGCTTTTTCAAACTAACTTATTTGAAGAAAAAGAAAGTCTTCAGATGATCCTATTTGGTTAAGAAAAAAAAAAGTCTTCAAAACAACTTCCTTGTCGCCAGCATCAACAGCAGTCAAACACGGTATGAGTTGTTGCCCAGTGAGAATTAGTCCTTTCATTTCAAAGGAATCAAAGATGTTTGGGGCAAGCAAAGCCCTGGTTACATACGATCAAAATAAACTAATATCAGATTTGCTAACAGAACGTGTTGATCAAATCTAGTGCTGAACTGTGAGTACACCTTTTATTCTTCCACCAGGATTTTAGAGAAAGAAGAAAAATCAGCTCTAAGAAGCTAAATGGATTTGAAGAAATTAAGATCTTCTGTTTTCTAGATTCTTCTCTGCTGATCGTTTCCAAAAGCAAGCAGAGTTTAACAATATTGTTGATTTATAAACAGAAGGCCAAAGAAAATTCAAGTTGCTGTCAAGATCCATTCCAGATATAACAAAAAAAGATAAGTGAGTGAAGCCTTTAAAAGATTTTGGATGGTCTCTCTTGTACTTTGGCTGTTCTTAAACTTTGTTAGGAGTAAGAAACAGAAGTGAAATTTCAGGCTCCCACTTTATACCTATCTTATGAGTAATGTCAACATCTTTTGTTTAAATACCTCTTTTTATCAAATCGCAGTTTCTTTCTTTCCCACACTTTCTTTCTCTGTTTAAAAAAGGAATTTGCATAAACACTATCACCTAGTGCTTTGTGACATTCACCATATATGCTTTATATTTCATGTGAAATTAAACATCTTCCTGCTGGTTTCTATCCATGGGACTTGTGGCTCATCTTTTTCCTGATTTATATAATAATGGAATCAGGTAAGTCTTGCACTGACAAGTTATGATTTATGGTTCTTCAAGCTCAACTCCAGAATTAGTAACGCTTAAAACTGGACAATTCTTTCTTGTGGGAGGCTGTGCATTATATATTAGCATTATTCCTTGGTTAATAGCATTTCTCCCACTTTTAAGCCCTTTGTTAACAATCAAAAATACCTCCAGACATTGTTCAATGTTTCTTGGTAGGCAAAATCATCCTCATTTAGGAAGTAGTCCTTTAAATCATGAAGACAATGGTTTGAGAAGCTTGATGGTCAGAATTGCCACAGACTTGGGAAAAGCATACAGATCCAGATTTGATTCTCTTTCCAAAAGCCAGGGTTTCTGTATTTTTCTTTTATTTCTTTTTTTTTTGTTTGTTTTGTTTTGTGTTTTGTCTTTTTGAGACAGGGTCTCGCTATGCAGTTCAGGCTGGCCTTGAGCTCACGTTGTAGCCCAGGCTAGTCTCGAACTCGAAATGATGTTCTTGCCTCAGCTGGGATTCTTGCCTGAGTGCTGGGATTACAGGCATGAGCCACCACGCCCAGCTAAGGGTTTCTATATTTTTCATAAGCCTTTTGATAACACAAAAGCACTGAGATCATCATAATAAATAAGACCTTGGAAAATGAGACATGCTTTGTGCACCACAGGGAACTTGTCAGAAATACAAATTTAGCGGCTGGATCTCAGACTTAGTGAACCAGGAACACTGAGATGGGATCCACTTAGTTATCTAAGAGGTGTGTCAGTTGATAATGAAGTATACTCTTAGCACATCCAACAAGACTGAGAAGTACAAAGCAATTCTGGAGGACTGTCAACACTGGAGAGCATGGCTGGAATCAACTTCTGTGCATAACACTGCCCTTATCAACACATGGTCACGAACATTTTGGACCTGATCACTCTTAAAAGGCAAAGCAAATTAGCCTTCTGGGGAAAAAGATATCTGAGGAAATGCACAACACCTTTTTTGCTATTCTTGTATCTCAGACTTGTTAATATTCTGCAGCACTGCAAAGCAACTCACAGGTGATTCCTTGGCAGGAGGCGTTTCCTCTAGACCTGTGATTCTCAACCTTGACTTCATGTTACAATCATCTGGGAAGCTTCTAAACTCCCCATACCTAGGTCACCTCCCAAATTAACAAAATCAGATTGTGTTAGATTCGGCACCAGGTAAGTTTTTTCGATCATTTCATCGTTCAGAACAATTTCAGGTGTCCATTAAATGGTGTCTCCACAGACAATCAGGGGCTGTGTAGAAGGAAACATGGCCGTAGGGGATGCAGAAGGCTTCAAAGGTCTGACTGGGAATCAGAAGGATGTTCAAGTGCAGCCTCAGGCTTCTGACTCTGTGAGTGCCATTTTGTTTCCCAAAGTTTCCCTAGATCTTTCCTGACAGAAGTTATGTTCCCAGTTTCAGGGTTTCCATAGGACTTTGAATCTAATTTAGTATGTACCATACTCTTATCTTGTATTGTACTCCTACCTATCATGTTCATCTCCTATACAATATTGTAAGTCCTCAGGGATAAGGACTCTGGCTTATTCATCTCTTCTTTCTCCAACCCCTATTTGGAGGGCAGGCATTCCTATTCCAAGTTAGGAATTTAATTGGGAAGTAGTCCTTTAAATCATGAAGACAATGGTTTGAGAAGCTTGATGGTCAGAATTGCCACAGACTTGGGAAAAGCATACAGATCCAGATTTGATTCTCTTTCCAAAAGCCGGGGTTTCTGTATTTTTCTTTAACATTCTTTATTTTGTATTTTTCTTTAACATATCAGATGATACAGAAATGTTTCTGAATGTAGAGGAAACATATAGCAAAGCAAAGCATATTTCTCACAGTCCAAAGCAGTACCTTCCACCCTAACGTGCTTCAGAATCTTCATGAACTCTGGACTTCAGAATCATTAAGAGAGGAAAGGTCTAAGCAGATGAGAGTCATGCGCTAATGCTGGAACACTGAACATTGGAAGTATTCATTATTCATTCAGCTCCAAACTGGAGCTCTGTGACCGGAGACAACTCCGCTACATCAGTGAAGTTTGGTGGCAAGAAAAATAGGAAGATATGATTATTTAGTTTTCCGTGGTGTTCTACGACTCGGGCTGTTCATCGCCAAAGCCAAAGCGGTCCAACATGCAAAATGAACGAAGGAACAGACAGGGAACTGGCAACTTCCTGAACACGGTGATGATTCCACACAAAAGTCATCCTTGGGGAATTCAGACCAACCTGATGGTAATGGTGGTTTGTGCCTGTCTATGATCCCAGTGGCTAAGAATCTATGATCAATTATCCCACAGGTAATGGGCCACTAACGGAATGCAGGGGAGGGGAAGGGAGTCCAGGGTGCAGCATACAAGCTTGCTCACATCCTTTTCAGTGTGTGAGGCCAAGGCACTGGAAAGAGGGGGACACCTTGGCTGAGGGGCATTTATGACACACGGGAAGTGGAAGAACAAGACGCTTCCAGTTAGTTCCTTGGAGTCTGGCGGCGATTTCTGTCAGCTTTCCCATTCCTAGATTGATGCTGGTTGCTGAAATCCTGGGGTGCTGGATTTATTACACTGCTTCTTTGTTCAGCTCTTCCAATAATAATTTGTATCTAAATACCTTTTGACATATTGGACTTTTTTGGCCGTTTTAAGAGATGAGGAAACTAAGACTCAGCTGTACAAGCTGGAAAACTTGACAGAGGCCAGACCCATGTACAGTTTCTTTCTTCGGCTGTTTCTCCGGTGCCCTGAAACGCCAGAGTCTGTAAAGGACAGAGCCTATTTGTGGATCTTTCCCTGCCCTAGAGCTATTTGCTCCAATGCAAGAACTCACCCATTCCCACCAAGTGGGAGGAGGAGAGAAGGCAAGTGAGTCAGAGACGCCCCAGGGTAGGGACTACTAAGCTTTGATTCTAAAGGCCCAGGGCTGTCCCTCCTTTGCCATTTTCCAGCCACAGAAACCCTGGCGCAAATCACTTCTCTTTCCAAAGCTCCTCACCTAGTCCTAGGGTTTCCGCAAGGCCTAGCGGTCGCAGCGCTTTAGGTGGATTGTGCAAAAACCGCAACGTCAGTCACAGAGTCCAGAAAATGACCGAAGACTGTCACCTCTAAACTAGGTTTCCTTCCTCTCTGAAGCAGAGCTCGCCATACCCACGCCTGCACCCTAGAAGCGGACCCACGTGTGCAGCTCCCGGCGGCGGCTGCCGGGCGGCAGGAGGAGCGTGTGCGCGCCGTGGGCGTCCCTTTAAGAGCGGCCGCCGCGCGGAGCCTCCGCCTCTCTGTCCGCTGAGCGCGCCGGTCACCTGGGGCTGCCGGGGAGCGGAGCGCGGCGGGACCGGGGCGGGACGCGAGGGGCCCGGACCGGTGGGAGCGCGGCCGGCGGGCGGCGCCCGAGTGCGGGAGGATGCGGGAGCGCACCCGCACGTCGCTGCCGCTGCCGCTGCTGCTGGCCCTGCTGCTCCCGCCGCCGCTGTGGGGCGGCCCCCCGGAGCCCGAGCCCGAGCGCGACCGCCACCGCGACCGCGGGCCGCTGCAGCCCTTCGATGTGCTCTACGCCAGCGGCGTGGCCGCCTATTACGGCGGGGACTACGAACGCGCCGTGCGCGACTTGGAAGCGGCGCTGCGCAGCCACCGGCGCCTGCGGGAGACCCGCGTGCGCTGCGCCCGCCACTGCGCCGCGCGCCGCCCGCTCGCGCCCCCCGGCGGCGCGGGGCCCGGCTCCGAGCTGCCCTTCTTCCGCGCCCTGCTGGAGCGCGCGCGCTGCCAGCGCAGCTGCTGGAGCCAGCGCCTCGGGGGCCCCGAGTCCCTGTACCGCGCCAGCGAGGATGTGCGGAGCGACTTCCAGCGCCGAGTGCCCTACAACTACCTGCAGCGGGCCTACCTCAAGGTACGCGGGACGCGCGCTCCTCCAGCCCCGCGACCCCTGCGTGCTGGGGTGTTCCGGGGAGCACCCCATCTCCTGCTTGTCGCTGTCCTGTTTTATGTCTTTAGAGCTGGGTCTCTTAAGCATTGGTCTCAGAATTGTGACTCTAGTCACCTGGTGGATCAGGCTCTGTAACCAAGCTTTATGAATATGGACAGGTCCTTTCCCTTTCTCAGCATGGACTTCATTCTCAAAAAGCAGGCTGTGGGTGGTGGTGCTTGCTTGTAATCCTGTACTGCTAGCACTCTGAGAGGCTGAGGCAGGAAGAACCCAAACTTGAACTTGGTTTGGGCAGTTTGGGGAGTTTAGCAAGACCTTGTCTTGAATTTAAAAACAAAACAAACTAGACAAAGGAAACCTTTTCTTCAGAGACTGGGTATGATGCAGGTCATCGTGAAGGTCCAGAGTTGGATCTCCAATGCCACTAAGAAAAAAAAATGGTGTGTGTGTGTCTGTGTATTATTCTGTACTGGTAAAGAGGTGTTTAAAGTACTTAGTTAAGCACTTTGGCAAGACTGGGCCTAATACCAGCACACAAGGGTCATTTCTTGGTATTGCTCCATCCTCGCCTCTAGATCCCCTCCTCTGCCTCAGCCCTTCCACACTGCAGCATGCACTTTCTGAATTGCCAAAGTATCCTTAGGATTACTGATTAAAAGGTAGACTCTTCAACAGATTTTGTCTCTTTCTCTTCTCTTCATATGTAACATCAAAGGTTGCAGAACAGGAGGCTTTATGGCAGTGTATTGGCAGAGGGCTTCCAATTCTTAGAGGTTCACATTGGATTAAATACTTGGCATCAGACCTGATGCCCAGCTTCTGGGTTTTTTTTTTGTGTGTATGTGTTTAACTTCCCTGAAATTACTGTAAGGAATTGGTGTGTTTCTCACATCTACATTTTTGAATCCTAGAATTTAAAATGAGTTCTTGGTTCCCTATCCCTACTCATTCAATTTGCTATAAATTTGCTCTTTCTTCTCACTTTCTGGATTTCTAGATATCCATGTCTTTGGCGTAGCTGTTGAGGAAGTGGCAGATTGGGTGTTAGACCACGCTGTGTTTCTGAGGAGTGTGGAAGTGTGTGATGTGTTCAGATGCCCAGGTGTCTTGGGTAGCACATCCCACTAAGTCTCTGACATCTCAGGTGATAAGTGTGAGGTTTTTTGACAGAGGAGTTAATGCAGGGTGGCTGGGACTAACTGTCCATCCTGTTTACTATGACTGAGATGGTAGAATTTAGTAGTCTAGTTTAGCAAGAACCAGGGAGAAAACCCTAACTCTTTTCAGGAATTGTCTTCTGCTGGCTGTGCCTCCTCATGGATTTGCTAAAGCATGTATTATTACCCCGGTGTTTTGTTTTGTTTTTAAGGTAAGTGGCAGTTTTGGGTGGTCTTCCAGAAATGAGTCAATTTTTAGCAGTGGGGAGACCTTCAGACATGACTGCAAAGGTATCCTAATTTCTTCTCCAGAGCAGAACCTGGGTGGGTGTGCAGCATGGTGTCTAACTTGGGAGTCTCAGGAATTTCCCCTGTGAGACAGGCAGTCTTGCTAATGGTGCTGTCATACACATTGGACAGAAGTTCCTTTCTCAGGTCAGGGCTTCCGAAGGAATGCGTATTCATGCTTGGTTTTACAAAAATAAATAACCGTGAGGTAAGTGTCAATATGTGGTTTTGTTTGGTTCTATAATTATATTTGGTGCACCGTTAATGTTAATATTTATTCATCATTCACCTTTCCTGCCCCCAGTTGGAGGTCAAAGGAGGTGATACCATAGGTTTAATAGGTCTAAAATTTTAGAGTGAGTTGGACATTGAAGAAGTTACACAGAGACACCTCTGTGGGTGAACTACTAGGAACTGTGTGATGTCAGTGAAGTGTAAGAAGTTATTTAAAAATAGCTGACTTCGTTTGTTCTTGTCTGTGCTGTCAGCAATGATCCTGGGAACAGAATAAGCCATGCATTCTCTTCCTATTTCACCTCTACTTTGACAGGCCAAGTGTTTTTTGGATCCATGTACTTGATAATCTCTTTAGAAGGAAATAGTTTTACTCTTTGGAAAGTTTTTTTTGATGGTCATAATTTGTTAACATCTAAAGATGAGTCATGATTCTTTCTTGTCACGCACCTCCTAGAAACATCACAATGTTAACTTTTGCTTGATTTCCAGGGCACATGCAGTCACACACACACACACACACACACACACACACACACACACACACAGTCCTATGGATTAATAAAAAAAACATGCTCGGGCTCCAACAGCTGTGGTGTTCATGTGCTGATAGGATGAAGAGCTCCTTGCGTGTTCCTGGCTATGATCATGGTACCTTGAGTCACTGCATTACGCTTGACATTAGTGATCCAGCTTGCTGTTAAAAAAAGCATATGATACTGGGCCAGCTGGATTTCACTGAAGACGGCAAAGCTTCATAGAGCTAAATAAGTGTGGTTATTTTGTGCTAGCAGGTTTACAAATTGAAGGAGCTCTCAGGGGATATGTAGCTTCTCCCCCAGATCCTGGTTAGTGAGCCATGGTTGGAAAAAGATTGTCTGTGGTAGTGTTTTGCAGACTAAGAAACAATGAAAAAAATATTTATATATGTATATTTGTGTGTGTGTGCGCTTTTTTGAGACAGTGTCTCGCTAAGCAGTTCAGGCTGGCTTAGAGCTCACTTTGTAGCCCAGGCTGGTCTTGAAGTGGCAAGGATCCTGCTGCCTCGGCCTCCTGAGCACTGGGATTACAGGCATGAGCCACCACACCTGGCTCAAAATACTGAATATTGTGAGATATGAAACTCACTGAGTTAAACGTCCCTTTTCACAGTTGTGGACGGGGAATTCCGGTAAGGGAAGGGTCTTGCTCTGTCTCAGGGATCTGGTGACAAACCAATGCAGTTTGATGAACTGAGCACAGGCCTGGGAGTTAGCGTTTGAGCTTTGTTGACGATGGGTTCCATATCCTTGTTTTCCTCTCACACTGCGGAATCTCCTCAGGTTCCCCTGAATGCTCCATTCCCTGGAGCTATGCTTTTGCCAGATTTGGACAGCTCCAAGGATGAGCAGGTCCTTGTTCTATGTGGTCATAGACCCTGCATTTCTCTTCCTGCCTGCTCCGTGGAATCCTCCTCAAGCCTGGCATATTGGGAATTTGTCTGAACAGCTATGCAGCAGTGGCACCTGGTTTCTAGCTGCGCCTTTTGGGTAAAGGTAGAATAAGCCTCTTTAAACTTCTGATTTTTATCATTTCAGATCACAAGATGGAATTTGTGATTTACAGCCCAAAGCCTGAGATACAGCTTTTATCTCAGCATTCTCTGCTGGGAAACCTTTAGTGGTTTCTCCTTGCTGCTATCCAGAGTCCTAGTAGTTTAATACAGCATCCATAACCCTCTTTCCCTAGCTCTGCCACCTTGCAGCCTAAGGGCACAGTGGGTGCTTTGTCTTACGTCTCACTGTACTGTTCTTTGGGAAGCACTCTTGGATTAGGGTGAGGAAGAAACTGAAGTCTGTGAACAAATTGTATAAGTGTTCTGAAACTCAGTTTTCCCACTTGCAAAATGGGATACTTTCTTGATTCAGGTTGAATTTTAATAGATGGCTGACATAAAGTGTGCAGAGGAGAGTCTGATTCTTCACAAATACTGGACATATGTTTCTTCTTGTTACTTAGAATGGAATTTTCCTCCTCCTTCTTTACATGCTCAAATATACCTATTTCAACTGAGGCTCTCCTTACTCCCGCTAGCACTGCCAAGAAGTCATCATTTCTCTTTTTAGAATGCACCAGGAAGGGTGATTTTGTTTTTTGTCACTTTTTCCCCCAGTTTTGAACTGTATTTTGTAAACACTGGTATATCGGCTGTCACCTATGTGAGCTCCCTGTAATCCAGAACTGTCCTTTTGTGTTCACATCTTCTGAAGTAGAGATTTCCAGATGTGGGTGATTATTAGGTGGAAAGCATGAGGGACATTAAAATATGATTTAAAATCAGAGATTTAGAGCCACTCTAAATATCTTTAAAAGGGGATTTGCCAGGAGATGCTCAATATCTGATTATTAAATACTATTAACAAAGATTTCTGTGGGATGGAGAACATCTCATCAGATTAGTTTCTGGTTTCTTGAAAGGCCCACTGGGATAGAAAACGGTAACTGGGCTGTGGGTTGTCTGCCTGGCTTCTCCGTGTTCTGCTTACCAGTTCTGGCTGACTTGACAAACCCCCTCTGTCTCTTTCCATAATTCAAATCTTACTACTTAAAACTGTGCTCCAGAAAATTCTTGGCACATTGTACCAGTTTTGTGTAGATTTGTAGAATTTCAGTCAATGCGAGAGAAATATTTTTCTTTCTTATCTCTGTCTACACTATAATTAGAAACAGGTTGACAGCCTGTTCTTTTCTCTCACTGCTTAGAAAAGGATTAAGGGGAAAGATGTCTTTTGTTTATTTATTTTTAATTAAAGCAATGTTTTGTTTGCGAGTTGGTACTTTTTGTCACTTGACCTTTGCTTTTTCTTCTTAGGATGAATGGAAGGCAAAGGGGAACTGTGATTAAGTCAGGCCATTCTGTCTCCCTCCGTCATCATGATCTATTTTATTGGTGGTTTATTGAAGAGAAGAAAAGCGAGCTCAAATTATTTCCTCCCCTGATTCTGTCTTATTGACTGCTTTTTGCTTCTAGAATGAATGCCCTCAGAGAGAACAGGAAAACCTACACAAGGGCATATTTAGATCCGGCTGGTGCAGGATAAAAACTAGAATATGTACACTTTGTCCTCCAGCTGTTTCAAGTAAGAGGCTGGGTTTTGTCTGTGTGAAATAACTGTTCTTAAATTATTCTAGTGTTATTTCCTTGGGAGGTGAGGTCTTTTTCTTTCTCTTGCACTTGATCTTTTTTGTATTTGAATTAGCAAAATGCACTAGTCACCACCAGTCTTGAAGAAACCAGGGAAGTTC